CACACATCTACTTGCTTAGCACACGCGCACGCTTACATATCGTTACGAAATTAGCGTTAATTCTATTATAGCAACATGTTGCTTCTCTTCCAGGGAAGAAATACGAGAGGATGAGAGGGAAGGGAAGATTGCCTTCAACAGTGATGCCAGGAGTAGTCTAATGGGCACGCCCTACGTCATTGACGCTGGCCTTCCTCGCAATCCAATTGGTCGAACTGGTCTAAAGGGGCGGGGCAAACTTCTCCGATGGGGACCCAACAGAACGTGGGATCCCGTCATTACGAGGTTTGAAGTCGTGTGTGTGTGTGTGTGTGTGTGTGTGTGTGTGTGTGTGTGTGTGTGTGTGTGTGTGTGTGTGAATGCTTGTATGTGAGTGTGTATGTGTGTGTATGTATATATTGTGTGTGAATGCATGTATGTGAGTTTGTATGTGTGTTTGTGTGTGTGAACGCATGTGTGAGTCTGTGTGTGTGTGCATCCGCGCATGTGCGTTTGTGTGTGGATGCGTGTGTGTATTTGTGAGTGTGCGTGTGTGTGTGTGTGTGTGTGTGTGTGTGTGTGTGTGTGTGTGTGTGTGTGTGTGTTCTTTCTAATATAATAATAATAATGGGGACAGTAGTAAAATTAACACCCCCCCCCCACCTGGCCCAATACCCGTATCAAGGGCCACCACTCTATGTACACAATAACTTAGCTCGCTGTTATATATTATCCTCCCCTTGATAGCTGCACCAGGGGCGGTTTGTTAACTGGGCAAGACCGGCGGTGCCGGTCAGATTTTTCTCAGCTGGACTGTTGACAAGAGATTTATTGCTGATGATGATTTTCATTCAGTTTTAAGTAAATCCAAACAAACATGTATCAACATTCAAAAAGCACCTTGCCGATTTGAAGGCGCTCAAATAGAGAAGTGGGATTCACTGCTGTTTATTTGTCGCGACAGAGCCTCATTCCTTCACGTTTGTTATCGCGCCGGCTCGTAACTTCAAATCGTCTCCCCTCCCATCAAGCCGTCACTTCGCGGAACTTCGTAGGCTACTACGTACCAGACAAACACACGGCGGGCTTTGGCCTAGCGATGACGTCAGTCCCATGGACAAATCCATCGACAGCCCTGAGAAGGAATAGAGTCAATGAGTTTAGAACTAAATTGCCAAATTGGCCTCTTTGTAGCTTACAAAATTAAGATTGAGACTGTCTTGAGCAGCACAGACACATGTATTATTTTATCAGCAAAACATGTATTTATCATTCAGCCTTTCTCTAATTACTATCAGAACATTTATTGTTAGCATGGCACTAATCTTTTTTGTTTATTGACTTTCTAAGCACCTATATTTCCTGTTTGACATTTACTCATCGTTTTTTCCCCTCAAATAACTTACCTGGCCCATAGGAGTCTGGTCGGCGGAGGGAGGAATTGTCTAGTGAAGATATATAAGGAGAATTTTAACGAGGAGCGATAGGCACTCGGCTGTCAGAGTCTGGGCCAGGCCTACCCCCTCCCTTCTCTCCCCTTTTCCACCGTCACCCCAGCTAGACACCAAGTTCTATAATTAGCATTTGACACACTTCCCCACTTCGTTACAACACAGTGTTCTGTTCTGAGAAGTGAGAAGTGCGTTGAAGAAAAAAGTTTGATGATATTACAGTATAATGATCGGAAATTGTTGTGTGCTAACTTTGTCCAGCTTTGTATACTATCTGATTGTAGACTTGATCTTCTTGGGGCAGCGTCACTGGTACAGTATCAATTAACTTTTTGTCATCATACAGGACTGTTCTTATTACATATATTTAACGGGTCCAGTGCACGTTGATATTTTGTGTGGGGTTGTAGAAAGTACGAGTAAAGTACTGCAGGCCAGGACCAGCAGTTTATTGCCTCTCACTTTCAGTTTGTTTTCTGGCCTAGTAATGTGTTTTTTTCTGTGCCGATCATGTCAGTTTCTATTAATCTTCCATCATACGTTATTCATAATATTGTTTCTTGACACTACCGCATATTCTAGCTCTTTCACAGTATATTATTACAATGTTTACAGTGGTGTGTGTGTGTGTGTGTGTGTGTGTGTGTGTGTGTGTGTGTGTGTGTGTGTTGTGAAGGAAAAGAATAGTCGACGTGAATGACGGACGGTCAGTTCTATAAACCACGAGCCGCTACTGGCTGCAACGTAATTTCTCGTGGCTCACAGGACAAAATGATCTTTATTGGAACTGAGGCTTAGCCCAATTGGTTGCTTTTAAGCTTTTATCCCGAAAAATGCTTTTCTCAAGTTTCTTTGAAAGACAAGGAGAGTTTTATCTATAACTATAACCAACCAAATATACACACACCAATGATTCCAAAAACCTCTCCGATAAGTAGGGCAATGCCCGCTTATGGTGGAGGTCAAGATTTCTGGAAACCCCCGAAATCTGTGTTAGCCCGCTTGTCTTTAAAACCGAACAGTTTCCTTGTACTATTCTGCGCTGTGGAACAGTCCCGGCGGATTCAGGAGGGGGCGGAATGCCCCAACCCACCCCTAAAAAACCTTCTTCTTTTTCTTCTTCTTCTTCTTCTCCTTAACATTATTATTATTATTATTATTATTAGTAGTAGTAGTAGTAGTAGTAGTAGTAGTAGTAGTAGTAGTAGTAGTAGTAGTAGTAGTAGTAGTACTAACTAGTAGTAGTAGTAGTAGTAGTAGTAGTAGTAGTAGTAGTAGTAGTAGTAGTATTTGGCCTTAGCTCCATTAGTAGTAAGATTATTACTATCATTATTATCATTATTGCAGCTGCAGCAGCAGCAGCAGTAGTTGCATATTTATCATTACTATTAGGCTATTATTATTATTATTATTATTATTATTATTATTATTATTATTATTATTATTGTTGTTGTTGTTGTTGTTGTTGTTGTTGTTACTGATTGCTAAGCCTTGGTCCCTGTTGGCTTTGTGCAGATGGAAGAAGTATCTAGGCACTGACTCCCGGGTGAAAGGAAAAGACGGGAGGGACGTACTCGAATTCCTGGCTGTTCTCCGGAACGACACCAAGCAATGGTCCTTTCCAGGGGTGCGTTTGCAACAGCAACAGCAGCAACAACAAAACCAAAAACAGCAACATCACAAAACCAACAACAGCAGCAGCATCAACAAAATCAATAATAACAACAACAACAAAACCAACAGTAACAACAACAACTACAGCAACAAAACAAACAACAGCAACAACAACTGGATCGATAACAACAACAACAACAACAGAAGCAGCATCAGCAAAACCAACAACAGCAACACAAACAACTGGAACAACAACAGCAACAACAAAACCAACAACAACAACAACAACAACAACAACAACAACAGCAGCAGCAGCATCAATAACAAAACCAAGGAGTAGCAGTAAGAAAGACCGCAGAAAGAGACAGGAGCCCAGAGGAGGTTGAAAAGGAGGTAACGGGGTGGAGGCAGAAAGTGGAGACGAAAGCAGATGATAGAACATTGTTAGAGAGCAAGAAAGGAGGTGAAACGAGGCAGTTATAGAGAAGAGAATTTTCTGTCGCTATCCGAATTCGAACCCGGGACTTTTGAATTAGAGTCGAACACCACAACCACTCGATCATGAGAGCCCTCGTTCATCATATAGAAGACACAGTGGGAAGTAAATCACATGAGGCTTCACGGAGACGAAATGCTTAAACCAAGAGTGAAGTGCACAAGCTGGGCAGAAGATATTCAGAGATGTCTCCGGCGAGCACCCAGGAACTATTCGGAGACGCACTCCCGCGCACAGATGCACTGCTTTGGAGGGTCAAGCTGCATGTTGTTTGTCGCAGCTCACACATATAGCCACTAAGACTGTTGCAAATCAATATTTTCAAGAAAATTTCAAACCTAACTGCAAAATATCAAATTACAGGTGAAAACAGGGGGCTTGCCCCCCTGTACCCCCCCCCCCCCTCTCCCGATATTTTTACTTTGTCTAGAGGCACAAAGCATTTTCATTGGTCTATCTCCGTCGGAGACGTCTCCGGATAAAAACTGCGCACAAGCTGCGTACATTCGCAAGTGGAAGAGGACCCTAAAACTTGTTAAAATGTGGTAAAACTTCTCTCTGCCATAATTGGTTTAATTGGCCGCAGCAGAAGCCACAAGTCATCTTAATCTTAAATTCTTCAAATTCTTTTTTGTTTTGCTGGAGAAATATTTTCCTCTGCGGATGCATTGGTCATCGTCAGACATTGTAATGACGAGCTATTGTTATTATTTATATATAGAAAGCATATTGTGCAGTGAAGGACAAAGCTTGTGGCCTATATCCCACGCCCCATAATGGTTGGCACATCAGACGTTTGTGGAAATCATCCAAGCTGGATCCTACCTAGGGTAATGGTTCAGTAAAAATGGTAAAATGGTACAGGTCTAACGCCCCTATCAACACTGGTAGTATAAGAGGCAGGACCTCCAAGTTCAACGTCCATCCTGGAAAGGATAGAGCCAAATGAGAAATTTCTGTAAAGTGCTTTTTCCAAGGACACAACGCTGGACCGATTACGGGCCCGGCAGCCTAACCACTAGTCACTAGACCATGGAGACTATGGTATAGAAAAAGAACACACCACATTTTATATCAAGAATCAATCGACAGGAAGGCCATCAGTTAGATTCCAATTTATTGGAACATTCCCTGAATTGTAAGTTTCTTTTCCGTGTGGGTGGTTGACGGGTGCCCTAGTGTGGTTTGCTCCTTCTTTCGTATAAAAAGTCTATCGTCCGAATCTCTCCTCCTCTTTGTCGGTATGTTACTCTTTAGTAACACCCCAAATCTCCGGCACTTGTATGACCTTACTATATTGCAAGTGCCGTAAAAAAGAATACTGACACTGAATATTTTTTCCATCCAGGGCATGCGTCGCCACTCCGAAAACCATTTGGCCACGCTCAAGGTCAACTTCCAGGAAACAGGGCGGAGTCAGGAAGATTCCATTGAGAAAGTCAAGCAAATGCTAGAACCACTTAAAAAAGAGGTAAGGGATGAGGGGGAGTGGGTGGGTGGATGTGGAGAGCTGGGTAGTGGGAAGAATTTGGAGGAGGGAGCATGAGGGGGAAGAGGTGAGGAAAGATGAGGGAAAATGGAGAGGGATAGGGATGGAGGTGTGGAGCAAGGAAGGAAGGTGAGGTGGACGGGTAGAGAGGAGGGATTTGAGGAGGTGAAGGGGAGGAAAGAGTGGGGAGGGCATTGGGGAGGGCGTAGAGAGGTGAGGAGGAGACATTTTTTTTTCATAAAAAAAAAAAATCATCATCATCCATCATTATCATTATTATCATTATCATTATTATTATTATAATTCGTATTATTATTATTTTTTCGTGTTATGGTCATAATTATGATTACAATTATTGTTATGATGATAATGATGATGGTTGTCATTATTGTCATGATTATTATTATAATCATTATTGTTATTGTCAATATTATTATTTGTGAGGCAGCGCGGTAGAATCAGGCTCTTGTCAATTTTTAGTCATATAGAGGTATTTACATCATCTTAAAGCCTGTATACTTGTCTTTATTTGGATTTTAAAAATATCCTTTTATCTTGAATACAAGTCTAAATATTTGCGAATGAAGGAGGTGGAGTCACCTGTTTTCAGAGGTGAAACTAGTGAGGAAATGGCCGTCAAAGATGAGTTATTTCCTTAGCTTGAGAGTCTGTTATAAGTGAAAATTTACATTTTTTGTGCTTTAAATCAACGTGTTTCAGAAAAATCCTCTCAGAAATTAGTTCTTTAATGGACATGAAAGGTGTAGAGCTAAAAAACAAAAATTTGATAAAAATTCACAAACCTGCAGAAAAATGCAAGTTTCTTCTTTGATTATTTTGACGAAAGCCTGATTCCACCACGTTGTCTCACATTTTCTAAAATTACTATTTTTATTGTCATGATGATGATGATGATGATCAGAATTGCTCAGCATATGTCATCTGTCGCTTAACCAAGCAGCATGCCCACAAGACTGGCGTAAGGCACTTATCATTCCTCTCTTGAAAGCTGGTAAGTCACCTAGTGATATGACATCCTTTCAACCCATTAGTTTGACATCCTGTGTCGTGAAAGTTATAGAAAGGATGCACGCTGAAAGAATTTACTACATGTCAGAGAAGAATGAATGGATTGCAGATATTCAGGCAGGCTTTCGCCAAGGTCATAGCTGCATGGACCAGATCATCAGAATCTGTGAAGA